CTCCTCCTCCTCCTTCTCCTCCTCCTCCTCCCCCTCCTCCTCCTCCTCCTCCTCCTCCTGAGGGCCCTCTCTCCGTCTGCCGGCTCCTGGGGCGCAGACTGGGCTCCCGGCGGCCCCTGCGGCGCGGTGCCCGCGGCCAAGAGGCGCGTGCCCAGCGGCCAGGCGCCGCGCCGCCGGGAGCTTCTCCCCCGGAGGGGCACCGCGCGGCCGCCACCGGGCACCCGCAGAGCACGTGCAGCCGAAGGGAGGGCAGCTCCGGGAGACTTCGCGCGGGAGGGAGGGGCTGGCTGGGGCCGCCGGCCGCGGGGGGGGGAGACTTCGCGGTGGGGGGGGAGACTTCGCGGGGGGGGGGGAGACTTCGCGCCGCGCCGCCGGGAGCACTCCCCCAGCACTCCCCCGCACGGGGGCCACCGGGCACCCGCGGAGCACGCGCAGCCGAAGGGAGGGCAGCTCTGGAGGACTTCGCGGGGGGGGGGGGGGCTGGCTGGGGGCCAGGTGTGGAACCCCACGGTGGCCAACCTCACGCTGATGGCCCTGGGCTCCTCCGCCCCCGAGATCCTCCTGAGCGCGATCGAGCTCTTCGGCAAAGAGTTCTACGCGGGGGAGCCCCGCCGCCCGCCGCGTGCCTCCCCTCTCCCTGCGTCGCTCGTGCTGCGTCTCCCGCCTCTGCTCGCGCGCGTGTTGTGCCTGTGCTGCCCCCCTCCTCCTCCTTCGCCTCCACCTTCCTCCATCCTCCCGCTCCTCCCCCCTTTGCCATCGCCGTGTTCTTTTCCCTTCTCTCCCCCCTCACGATTTCGACGTCCTGAGGGTGGCTTTCAGGCCCTAGGGCCATCAGAAAGCGGCCCGCGACGAGGGGCGGGTCCCAGGAAGTGGGGTGGGGAATTCTGGGGCCCACGTCATGAAAAACTCACGGCGTCGGACGCCTGGGGTGGGAGGAGGAGGGGCAAGATGAAGGAGGAAAGGCCAGACACCTTTGGCGGTCCCGGCGCCCGTGCCGGCGGCCAGAAGAAGCCACGGCCTGTCAGCTGTCGCCTGTCTGCTGTTCCGTCGCGCCGACTCTACGCCGTCGAATTTCTGCTGTCGCTTTCCGGCTGTTCGCTCGTGGCCCCGCTGCCGAGTGCAGCCAGCCAGCTCTCGCTCCGAGGGCCGCCCGAGGCCTCCGAGGACCGCCAGGGACCCGCTGGAGGTCGCCGAGGACCACCAAAAAGCCGCCGGGGCCCGATGGGCGAGGAGGGTTCGCGGTCGAGCAGGTACGGTGGCGGCGTCGGTTAAGGAATGCCCCCAGGAGGCCTCGGACTCTGGAGTATTGCCTGTCTGGTGAGGGCGGCGGTCCCGTCTGTGGCCGATGCACGAGAGGAGCTCCGCCGGCTGCCAGACTCTTTGGATTTCTCATCCGCTTCGGCGGAGGGCGAGGACGCAGTCAGCCAAGGGGGGCGTTCACTCCATGGCTGCCCCTGCTTCTTGCGCGTGCTCGCACCCTCTCCCCTCCGCAGCTTCGACTGGATCAGGCCAGAGCCCGACAAGGGCGACGGTGCCGCCTGACTCTGCAGGCGTAGCGCTTGAGAAACCATCCATCGCAGAGGGTGGTTTTCGCAGAAGGCGCCTGGACTTCTCAGAGGCCCTCGCGCCTTCGGAGAGGTTTGCCGTGCCTTCGGGGACGACTGGGCCGGTCCCCGTCTGCCTGTCCAAGCAGACATTGCAATTCCACACGTCACCTTCGTGTTTAATTGCATTCTAATTGTATTCTAATTGTATTATAACTGTATTCTAATTGTATTATAATTGTATTCTAATTGCATTCTAATTGTATTATAATTGCATTCTAATTCTATTATACTCGCATTCTAAGTGTATTCTAATTGCAGTCTAATTGTATTATAATTGTGTTCTACTTGTATTCTAATTGCAGTCTAATTGCATTATCATTACATTCTAACTGTATTCGAATTGCATTCTAAGTGTGTTCTCATTGTATTCTAATCGTATTGTCTTGCCTCGCTGCCCGCCTCTGCGGCCTGTCGCGGCGCCTCGTCCTTGCGCAGGTGTGCTGCGCACTGCTCGAGTGCCCTGCCTGTCTCCCCGCGTCTCGCCGTCTCCCCGTCCCCCCCTCTCGCGTCAGCCCCCCGTGTGCTGCGCACTGCTCGAGCCCCCTGCCTGCCTCCCCGCGTCTCGCCGTCTCCCCGTCCCCCTCCCCCTCGCGTCAGCCTCCCCCGTGGGTCCCCTCTGGACGGATCCTGGGTCCTCGCGCCGCGGGACATGGGCCGGCGCCCGTCTCTTCGCCCGACTTTCTACGCCGCACCGCCGCGCGTGTGGCCGCGACGCCAAAATGTGTTTGTGTGTGTGTAGGTGTGTGCATGGGGTGACTCCCTCTGTCACCGGGCTGTACAGTCTCCCTCTCTCTTTTCTTGCGTCTTCGCTTTTGTTGCGCTGGGCGTACAGCGTCCCCCCATCGCCCAATGTCTGGTGGTATTTCCTGTTGGCGGCCACGCAGAGCTTTCGATGTGCTGGACCATGCCGCCAGGAAACAGCACAACATGGGTGGTAAAACTATATTTTCTCGCATGCGGTCAAGATGCTGATGTCAGGAGCAGTTTCTGCTCCGAAGGGGTTCGATGCTCCTCGTGTCCCTCCGTGGATGCGTCTCTGGCGCTCCTCGTTCACGCTGGCGCTGTTCGTGCCAAAAAAGGGGTCTCGTTTCTTATATGGCGTTCCTTTCGTAGCGGCTCGACTGTGCCTTCTGTCTTGACTGCCGCCGAGTGGGGCGCCCGCCCGCCACTTCCAGGGCGCAGGGCGGCGGGCCACGCCGCCGACGGCCGCCGCAGCAGCGGCCCCTGGCCGAGGGCCTCTCCTCGGCTCCTGCGCGGGGGCGGCGCGGCGAGGGCTGTGCGCAGGAGGCGAGCCGTGCCGGCGACCACGACGACGACGACTGTGGTGGTGGCCTGAGGCCGGCTGGGGGGCTGAGGTGGCCCAGCCCCGGTTCCGACGAGCATGAGCCTGAGTGCGGGAAGGGTGGGGGGGGGGGGATCGAGGGGCCAGGCCCGAGAAGGCCTTCTGCCTCTTTGTAGCCTCCGGGGGCCGTTTTCGGGCCCCCGGGACCGTCCGAAGAGGTTCCCGGGTGAACAGCGGCAACAGATCGAGCCCAGGAGGGGTCCGGGGTTCGATTTTCTCTCGGGGCCCGACTGGCTCAGATTCCGTGGCCGCCTCCAAGTGGTGGCAACCGTTGTAGGTACGGTGGGGGTGGTGATGGTGGTGATGACGATCAAGATCACGGTAGCGGTGATTGCGATGGTGGTGATGGTGATTGTGCTGGTGATGGTTGAGGTGGCAATGCTGGTAGTGGTTAACTATGGTGGTGGTGGTAACGATGGTGGTCGCGGTGGGGTTGGGGAGGACGACCGGAGATGAAGAGCGGACGAGTTGTGTTGCTGTTTTGGTCTCCGCGACCTTCGTTTTCTTTTTGTTAGTTTGTTTGTTTTCTAGCATTGTGCTGACAGAAGATGATGAGCAAAGGCGGGAGGCGGGAGGAGGTGTCTGGCAAGGCGCAGGGTATCTCAATGGACGAATCGCGGCGCTCCCTCAGGACTTGGGACCTTCTACTATCGTGGGTAGCGCCGCCCTCAACCTATTCCTTATCATCGCGGTCTGCGTCAGCGCAATCGAGGGCGGGCGGGGGCGCGTTGGGCGCAGGAGGCGCTCATCTTACTTCTCTCACTATTCCGTAGTCCTTTCTTCTCTCTCCTCTGTCGTTGCTATTACTCCCTTTCTGTGTATGTATATCCCCACATCTCCCTTTCCTGCTCTCTCTCTCTCTTTCTCCCCCTCTCTGCCCCTCCCTTTGGTTCAGGTATTTCTGTGGTTTCTCCCTCTGTATACCCCTCTGATAATTTATGTGTCTAGTCATCTTTATAGTTACTTCTCTCTCTCTCTTGTTCTTCTCTCTCTCTCTCTCTCTCCCGTTCTGTCTTTCTTCTTTGTCTTTGGATCTCTCTCTCTCTCTCTCGCTTGATGCCTTTAGATTTGTATATCTACGAAACACCTGCTTCACCGCCGCCCCCTGCTTTCTGGAAGCGCCAGTGTGGCAAAACGTTGAAGGGCAGCTTGGCCGAATTCCTTTTCGGACCGTGTGGCCCCCCAGCCGTGGTGGAGCCCTCGGGAGAGGTCGAGGCGAACGTGAAGGAGAGGGAAGAGGATGAGTACGAGGATGGGGAGAAGGAGGGGGAGGAGGCAGAATAGGAGGAGGAAGAGGAGGAGGAAGAAGAAGATGAAGCAGAAGAGACTGAGGAGGAGGAGGAGGAGGAGGAGGAGGAGGAGGAGGAGGAGGAGGAGGACCAGGAGGAGGAGGAGGAGGAGGAGGAGGAGGAGGAGGAGGGGGAGGGGGAGGAGGAGGAGGAGGAGGATGAGGATGAGGATGAGGAGGAGGATGAGGATGAGGATGATGATGATGATGATGATGATGATGATGATGAGGAGGAGGAGGAGGAGGAGGAGGAGGAGGAGGAGGTAGTAGGCGAATGAGGAGGTGGGCTCTTGGGGGCTTTTTGGGTGCCCTCTGGAGGTCCCCCCAGGCCTTTTGGCAGCCTTTCGGTGCCCTCTTTGTGTTCTCTCGGGCTTATCTCGGGCCGTTCTGGAGCCAGCCTGGGCCGTCTTGGGGCCATCTCGTGTCATGGGCCATCTTTGAAGGGTATCTTGGGCCGTCTGTGATGTCGTACAGGACAAGTATGGCCGACTCGGAGGCCATCTCGGCAGCCTTGGATGCCGTCTTGGGTCGCCTCGAGGCCGTCTTGGGGGCCTTCTTGGGCCGTCCTGGGGCCCAAGGCGGGCCCAGACGGTCTCAGACGCCCCAGACTGGCCAAAGCGGTGCGCAGCGCACTAAAACGCAGGGCGGGTTCAGGCAGGAGGCGGAAATGCTGACAGTGTTTCGGGTCTGTGCCGGCCTGTGAGTCCATTGCATCGGCACGCGCGCGAGCTCAGCAGCTGGTTGCCGGCATGCATCGGCGATGTTCGATGTGGGTCCAGATTTTCTCCACGCCGACGGCGGCGATGCATTGGCGATGCGGCGAGATCCCCCGACCCCATCTACTCAGACCCCATTTGGGAAGCCTCCAGTCAGGCCCGGGGATCAGTATTGGTCAACCTATCCCCATCCCCGCCGTGCCATGGTATTTCAACCCCGCCATCACAACCCTCCAGTTGGGGATAGGCTCCTCGAAACCCGAAGGGAACAGCCCGTGTCCCCAGCTGAGGATGTGAATCCGCTGGTGGAGCCAAGACCATGCCGTGGGGATGGGGATCGGTTGAGGTCCCGCGAGTGGCCCAGACCATCCAGCGTGGCACTGGCCAGTCTCTTCCCGCCACATTGGCTTCCTGAGGCCAATCCGAAGCCCTAGGGCCCGCAGGGAGCGATCCGAGATGGACCAAAATCTGGTCTCAAGGATGGGGTCGATTCGGGGACCATGAGGGTGTGGTCACGCTGGAGTGCTGGTTGCGTTCTGCGTCGTCGGGGCTTTGGGGGGGCACCACGCTGCCCTCGTCAGGCCTCCTCGGGCGCGGCCGAGAGCTCCCCAGACAGCCGCCGATCTGTTTTTTTTTGGGGGGATCCGCGGCCCTAGGGCCCGATAGCGGGCCCCGGAGGCCGAAATCCAGGAACCACCGCCGCATTGACAAACATGCGCGAGGGGAAGAGCGCGCAGACACAAGTCATCGTCGGCTCCCGGGAAGAGACGGGAAAACAGGGGAAGGGGGGGGGGAAGACGAGAATCCAGAACAAATACATGGAAGATATGGGGAGTCCTGGGACTTGTGTGTATTGTGAAGGCCTTACGGCCGGTGCCGCCGACCCTGAAGGTTTTGGCCGTCGATGGCGACGGGATGTGTGATCACAGGAAGGAGCTAAAGGACAACGTGACAGGGTAGGCGGAGGAAGTGTGTGAGGAGGAGGAGGAGGAGGAGGAGGAGGAGGAGGAGGAGGAGGATGAGGAGGAGGAGGGGGAGGAGGAGGAGGAGGAGGAGGAGGGGGAGGAGGAGGAGGAGGGAATCCTGGGACTCGTGTGTGTATCTTCGCGTGTCCCTGGGCCCCCTCTTGAGACAGCAGCTCCTCGGACCCCTGGGCCCGTCCAGGCCCCCGGCACCGCCTCCCCCCCCGGCAGGGCCGCGAGTATACCCTCCGACTCGCTGCGCCCCCGCTTAGGGGAACAAGAAGTGACATAAACATAACAACTCGGAGGTCCGCGCGGATTTCTCGGATCGGCGCTGGACCCCCCTCCCTGGCGCGCGGAGCGCGCTGCCAGGAAACACCCTGCTTGCCTCCATGGTGCCCTGGGTTTCTTGGGTTTCGATGGTTTTGCTATGGAGAGCGTGACGTTACCACACCAAAGATCCACGGGCGTCCTGGGGTCTCAGGCTTGGGCTTCTTGCGGAAGGTCTCTTGTGGCCGAGCTCCTACTGTAGCTGTCTCGACGCGCCCATTTCGATGCATGCTTAGGACGTCCGTGTCGATGCGCTGCGTGTTGGCTCGTTTGGCAGCTAAGCTTCGGGCTCTCGAGGCTCGTCTGGCCACGTCAGCAGCCCAAGCGCACGACGCAGGACCTCAGCTGCTCCGATGCCCCCGTTTCGAAACGCAGCACTTGCCGTGCTGAAAGCGTCTGTGTCGATGCGCTCTGCGTGTTGCCTCGGCACGTGTTGGCCCACGGCTTGGGCGAGCGCATCGCGGCGGACCTGCGTATTACTGCGCTGCGTGTTGCGTGTTGCGAATTTGTGCAGCTAAGCTTCGGGCTCTCGACGCTTGTATGCCCACGCCGCCAATCTAAGCGCATGGCACAAGACAGTTTCACCCTGACCAGGACACGTCCTGGCTTCATCAAGTCACGAGGTGCTTTCGGACAGCCGGCGATCGTTTGCACTCGAGTTGGCCTCGGAAAGTATCCCGACAGTCGACCACCCTCTGCAGATGCCGAGGACAGGCTTCCAGCACGGGGTCTCTGTGCATGGATTTCGACCGAACGGAATTATGGGGTGCGAGGCGGCGAAGTGCGCTACATAAAGCAGACCAACGTGTACTGCGTCACGGTGGGAGCACGGGGATTGTTTCTGACGCCCTTCCGTTTGCCAGCCCCTTCGGCCTCCTCACCATGCAGCCGCCGCCCCTGTCGCTTATCATATTGGTTTCCACTACAAGCTGGGACATCTTTTTCCGAACGCCACACCAAAGCCTCAAGACACATTTCGCTTAGTTTGGCTAGGTTTGGCCTGGTTTGGAAGGGCACCTCGCCTGAGACAACCTCAGAATTTGCCTGGTTCGGTCTGTGGTTTTGCCTGGTTTGGGGCTGGCTTCGCCTGAGAATTCCTTGCAATTTGTGTGGTGTGGCTTGGTTTCGGTGCTGTTTCGCTTGAGACATCCTTGCAATTTGCTGGGGTTTTTCTTGGTTTCGGAGCCGCTTCGTTTGATCCGTCTTCGCAGTTTGCCTGGCTTGATCTGGTCTTGGCACTGTTTCTGTTGATACTTCATTGTGATTTCCCTGGTTGGGCACGGTTTAGGCGCGGTTTTGCGTGATACTTGGTCAGGCTTGGTTTGGGCACAGTTTCGCTTGAGACCTGACTATGTACGATTTGCTTGGTTGGCTTTGTTTGAGCGCGGTTTTGCTTGAGACATTACTACCAGAATTCGCTGGATGTTCAATGATTCGGGCTGGACTTCGCGTGGTGCCAGCTGTGTGGTGTAAGCTATGTGGTGTAAGCTAAGTGGTGCAAGCCCACAACGCGTCGCTCTCACAAGCATGTGACTGGCTGTAAGCCGGCGTTGGCCCGGGGACCGGCGTTTAGAGAAAGCTTCCCCAAGCTTGTATTTCGTGCTCAGCGCGCGAAAAGGGGAGGGAAAGAGGGATAGGAAGGTAGAGAGATATAACAATTCATTGTGTATCACATGACATACATTTACATAAGGTTACATATACATACGATTAGAAGTATATAGAGAGATTTTATACATAGGTATATGCATAGAGAGATAGAGCACGGGAGAGAGAGAGAGAGAGATAGAGAGAGATGGGGAGAGAAATAAAGAGAGAATAGGCAAGGAGGGATACTCACAGACATTCTATACATACAGGTGCATGCATTTTCACACATCCATATGTTCTTGTGACGCAAGGGTCAGCTATACGGGGAATTGGGCAGCGAAGGTATACGTATGTGATGAGAAGTATAGAGGGAGCGTGAGAGAGAGAGAGAGTAAGAGAGAGAGAGAGAGAGCTCGCGAGAGAGAGAGAGAGACGGGCAGAGAAAGACGGAGGGATACTCACATACATTATATATATATATATATATATTTGTTATGTACAGGTGCATGCACTTTCACACATCTGTATTTTTGTGTGTGACCAAAGGGAACGCAAGGGTCAGCTGTACGGGGAATTTGGCAGCACAGGGATATATATATATATACACATATATACACATGTATGTATATGTAGGTGTGACTCGATCTGTCTATATATAAGAGAGAACTAATAGCTTGACCACTGTATCCTTGCTGCCTTGTCGTCGAGCCCCTCAGAGCTTCCATCTTTCGGTCCTGCTCTGGCACTTGGCGTTTGCAGCCGAGACACGGCGGAGCGATTTTCCCCTGAAGAGCGCGTGGGCGGGTGTGCTGTCCCCTACGTCTCTTCGAACGCGTGCGTCTGTACCTCGGTGCAGCGTCGTATACCGCACTTTTTCTGACAGGATGCGCTGTTGTGCCAGAATAAGCACATGTGCGCGCGTGAAGGCATAGAGGCTCTATGGTGTTAGCCAGGTCAGCGACAGAACCTGCGCTCCCAACATGCTTTCTGTGGCAAGCAGGGGGATTGTTGTTGTCGCGTGGTGGTGTCGTGGTTCGCGTCTCATCCTATCGCCACTTTGGCAATCCGGGCACCTTCGTTGGTTCCACTCTTTGTAGGGGTCAACGGGGAACCTGGTCATTTCGGGTACTCCTTGTGCAGACTAATTCGTCGGTGCTTGTCCCATGACGCGTGCGATACTTATACCAGAAGTGGTAGACGGGAGGAGGATGTCGACACGGAGGCCGAGGATGAGGGTGAAGAGGAGGAGGAATTAGAAGATGGGATGCCAGTAAGGCCCCACCGTGTAAAGCGACTGGGCGAACATGTGAAGGAGGCGACGCGGAAAAATGAGAATGAGTGAGCAACGATGGGAGTGACCGAAAGCTGCGCGAAGGACTAGGCAGCTCCTGGCGGGGCCCAGTCGTAGCCCTCGGGCACCACTCTTGCCTGCCCCCCCTTCCTTCTCAGAGCCTGGACTGTCAGAGTGAGACGTTCCGATTTCCGTGTAAGCGGCGCGATCCGCTTCGGTGGTTCCCGAAGCTCCAGGTGCAAATTCCTAGGGTTCCGACCAACTGGTCACAGATCATACAAGCCATAATCCGAAATAACAACAAGAGCAACAAGCACACGAGCCAGGGGGGCATGGTTGAGCAGGGGAGAGGCAGGCGATCGGGCAGGCCTCGTGGTCCATCCTGGCGTACTTCTGGCTCATCGTTGTGCTGCTCATCTGGTCGCCGCACGTGGTAGAGCCGCTAGAGGAGGGATGGGCCGTTTCTTATTGTATCCTCTCTCTCTTTCTCTTCTTTATTCTCACTCTTCTTCCATATGTCACAGTTGCTCTTCCTATATAAATATATGCGCATGGACAAATCAATATTGTGCAGAGCAGAATGCAGCGCTCCCCCCCTCTCCAGAGTGTGTTCTTCTATTTCAGCCACTGCTTCGCCTCTCCCTGCATGTCTACCCCGCAGGCGGTGTTTGCAGTGAAGGGCCACTGCTTGATCTGCCTGATGCTCGGTGTTGCCAAGTCTGGCAGTGGGGTCCGCTGGCCGCCGCTGGCCCCGACTTGCCCACCATCAGCCCCCCAGGGCCGCCTTCCGCCGGTCTGCCGCGGACCCCGCTGTTCGCCGCTGGGTTCCCGACTGGGCCCGGCCAGTCCCAAGTTCTGGTTTGCTGGGGACCCCAGACCTCTGGCGGCTCGAAAACTGCGGGACGGAGGCCGCTTCTGGTCCGTGCTCTGGGTCCTGGGACCGTTAAGCAGTTCTGTGGGGAGAATAAATGCCTCCCCACACCCACGGGGAGCGGTCGAGATGTCTGCGGGCCACGTGTTGACAAAAACGCGGCGTTGGACGTCTGGGGATGCAGCTGCTAGCTCGGGCTGCCCTCGAACAGCCCCGATCAGCCGCGTGTCATGCGTTGCTGGGGTCGGCTCCTACTCTTACTTCCTACCCCTACGCCACCTGCCCCACCGGCTCCTTACCTCTTACCCCTACACCCCCTCCTTACTTCCACCCCTACGCGAACTACCACCTCCACACGCCTTGCCCCCAACCCCACCTGCATCGCTCTTTTCCATCCGCTTGCCTCGTTCCGCCCTCAACCTCGCGCCTCTTACATCACTTCATACGCTATCTCGTGACCAATGCTAGCTACCATCGCCCGCCTACCCAATGCAATCAATTTCCTACCTCGTGCCTGCTGATTGCGACTTCGAGCTTCCAGCCTCCTACCTCCGACCTCCTCCAGTTGACTTCTTATATTTTGGCATCTACCTATTGCCTCCTTGCATCTGACATTTGCCTCTTACCTCCTACTGTTTACCTGTCACCTTATACTCCCACCTTCTACATCCTACCTTTTGTCCGCATCTTCCCACCTACGTGAACTATTCGTCCTGCAATCTGCTACCTCGTACCTCTTGCCTTCCTACCTCTTACCTTGTGTCTCGTCGCTCTACCGCCCTACATCATGTTTATCTCTGCTGCTGTTACCTGTACTTGAACCTGCGGGCTGGCCGGCGATCAAAGATCTGGCGACGTTCTTTGAAATTCAGATGGTTCAGCGATTGCCCTCTCATGAGCCTCTTGGACGGCGGCCATACCTGACCTGAGGCCGTGATCTTGGGCTACACTGACCTCGACGTGGAAGCTGGGAGTAGGGTATTCTGGATCCAAAAGCAAACCGTAGCCCGTCATCGCGAGCGCCTTGCCGAGGAGCTGGATCCTAGATCGGCACGACCAGGGCCTGCCAAATCCTTCATGGAGAGCGCTCGCATTTTCGCTGAGCCAGTTCTGACGATCTGGACAGCGAACTGGCGAGTGCGGAGCGCATTAGTATCGCCACGATTCCAGACCGTGGCGCGCCTCTGCTCCAATTTGACTCCTGTTCCTTGTCGTTCTCGCGGTTGTCAACGTCGTCGTACAGTCGACCATATCATTGAGAAACCTTCCGAAACGCTGGGCTAGCGTTTCTTAACCAACTTGCCGGAAAGCTGGCCCAGTTTCTTAAGCACGTTCGCCCCTCCAGCGTTAACGGCAGAAGTTGGCCCAGGTCCGTGTTAAGACATTTCTGAGAAGTTGGCCCAGGTTCTTTCTTATCGTATACTTTTCTTGAACATATTTTAGGCTGTAGTTGTCGTGGTGGTGGTGGTGGTGGTCGTCGTCGTCGTAACCGTCTTAGTGGTCGTTCTTTCGTCATGCTCCTCACTTTCATCCTCCCGCCTGCTGCTTCTCCCTCCTGTCGCACTCCTCGCCTCCTTCTCCGCCGTTCTCTGTCTCCCGCTTCTCCCGCTGGCCTGTCACCTGCTCTCTCCGCCCCGTGTTCTGAGGCTTCGCTGCTTACGCTGCCGTTGCATGGTGGCCACACGCGATGCCTACTCGGTGAGATATCCTGTTGACCTCTGCTAAGTCCTGACCCTCCTGCAACTCCTGTTCCTGCTGTTGCTACTGCTGCTCTTCATCTTTTCCTCTCGCCATGTGCCGCGAGCGTGCGGACGGGGGTGGGGGCCAGGGCATTATCACTTTCATGTTTTTCCCACTGCTGATCGTCTTCGCGTATGCGGTGGGCGGGACGTGTGCAGGGTAGCGAGTCCAGCGCTGGTAAAGGGCTTGTAGGGCTTTCCCATGTCTCCTCCTCCTGGAACGATGTCGGCCCTCTCCTGCAGCACCTAGCATGAGCTTTGGACGGCGATTTGAGGCTGTCTGTGCCTGTGCTTTGAAGACGCATGCTTTTGCGCCCGCCATGACTGGTACTTTCACGGTGCCATGATCATCACATCTGGCATAACTATATAGAGGTATATATATAGAGGTATATATATGTAGATATGTATGTTTGCAGTTGTGGGTTCTTTTTTCTTTTCGAAGGATCGTCTGGGCCTGAGGGCCGGTCTGGCGGCTACGTTGTCGCTGTCGCCGCACTCGTCGCGCTCTCGTCGCCGCCTCGCATAGATTGCACCGCGTAGATTGAGCGGCATACAACGCACCGCACATCTTCTCTTTTCTAGAAAAATTCGGATCCACCATCCCGCCCCCCCGGGTTTATCGCCCCCCGTTGCGTAATGCAATTTACATATGATTCTGCCCCATCGTCCATCTTAAATATTAATTAATTCATTCCATTCCAGCCTAGCTAGTATCGACCCCCTCCGGGAACCTCTGGAACAAATAATATGCACGCGCGTTCGTTTATCAATAATCATCAGTTTTCAAGAATGTCTTGCATAAGATGGGACGAAATGCGCGCGCGCCGTCGCGCGCGCATGCCGGAATCCTTCAAAACCTCTTTGGTTTCGGACGGATTTCAAAGTCGAATGTCAACAAAAACATATACACACATGCTTTTGCAACTCGAATTTTCAAAAAAGCGTGCGCGCGCGCTCTTGCGAATTCTTGAGAAAACCATGAATTTTCAGCATTGTCAGAAAATACTACCAAACGAGATTCGCGCGCGCATGTCGAAATCGTTCGAACGCCTCTGTGCGCGTGCCGTCGCGAGAATCATTTGCAACAAATGGGACGAAGTGGACACGTGCGCGTCGTCGCGCGCGCATGCCGGAATCCTTCAAAAACTTTCGCTTTCGTAGCGATTTCAGAACCGAGTATCCAAACACATGCAAAAACATTCGGTTTCGTAACATCAGTTCTCAAAAAAAGCTTGCGCGCGCGCTCTTGCGAACTCTTGTGAAAACCAAGAATTTTCACGATCTTCGCGGAATTCTGTCAAACGGGCCTTTGGCGCCGCATGCCGCCATCATTCGCACGCCCTTGCGCGCGTGCTGGGGGGGCACGATCCGTGTCAAATGAAAGCATGCGGGCCGCTCTCGCGCGTCAGTATCGGCGCCCGCGCTGGTCGTGCCTTCGTCGCTGCGAACATCGTCACCAGCATCGCCACTATCATCAACGCGTCTACCGTAGTCGGCGTTGCCATGATACCGCGCCCGCCCAAGTCGCCGACTCGCAGTGAAGTGCCCGCTGGGATGCGCCCAGCGGTCAGCGCCACCGCGGCCGCGTCAGTGGCGCCAAACTAGCTGGCCGTTGCGCGCGCGTGCTAGGGTTGGCGCGGCCGCAGGGATGCACCAGCCAACGCCAAGCATGCGTCGCAATCGCCACCGCATGGGCGATCTCGGTGACGGTGGTAATGTTCTGGCTTCCAAGGTGACCGAAATATTACCACTAACATCGAAATCTAGGATTATCTCCCCCCTGCGGAGGCAGCCCCCCCGTGTTGGTGCTGGTGCCCTTTTCCTGGCCTCCAAGTGTGTGCACGTACGTGTACGGACGTGGCCCGTGTGTGTCAGGAGGGAAAGAAACACACAGACACAAGTAATCGGCGATTCCCCAGAAAATATGGGAAAATCTGGGAAGTGGGGGGGAAGACAGAAACCCAGAAAATACAGGAAAATATCGGCCATCTTTTTATTTGTGTGTATTTATTTGTGTGTCCCAGGGCCCCTTCAGTGTGCTCAGACTCATTCAAACACGCAAGGGGGCAATGGGAGGTGTCCGATGGGCCTGCCACAGCCTGCGATTCTGTAGGCGAGCTGTTGCGGAACACCCGCGAAGCCATTGACCGAAACAACATCCGAAGCAGAACTGGGGGGGATTACACTGGGTCCCCAATCAACAAACTCACCACCTACCAAACCACCCCAACCAAACCCGAAGGCTCAGATTTACCCTCGATTTCTAGTAGGGGGGGGGGGGGGGGTCGGGAAACATCGAAAAAACAAATGTGGAACCCTTACCCCCCCAACCCGAAATTCGGGTCTTCGGGTTGGGTTGGGGTGGTCTGGTAGGTAGTCACAAACAGTGCGTTTCTGAAAGCTAGGATCAACACCGCTGAATCTCATTGCGTGTGTGCGTGTGCGTTTGCGTGGAATGCTTTCTGCCCCCTGCGAGAACGCTCCCCCAGCCAGGGTGTCGTAGTTTTCCGCTGTTGGGGTCGGGGGGGCTCTTTTTCGTGGCCACAGCTGAACGGAGCGAGAGCAACTGGCCAGCTAAACCTTCCGCGTCACCTACAACAGCTAAGTAGGCTTTCCCCATTGGGCTTATGTGTGTTTGTGGAAGAGGCCGCTCGGTGCGGGGCCTTTCGGCAGAGGCGTTCTTCGGGGTTGCCAGGGGTTGCCCGGATGCCCAGGCTGTCCTGGGATGCTGGGGTTGCCTAGGATTGCCCGTGACTTGCCGTGCAGTGTCAAGCAGCGCCAAGCAGTACCATGGAATGCCAAGCAATGCCAAGCACTGCGGGGCAATGCCGAGCAATTCCAAGCAAGGCCAAGCATTGTCAATAAGTGCCGCGCAATGCCAAGCAGTGCCAAGCAATGCCAAGCAATGCAAAACCAATGCCAAGCAATGCGAGCAAATGCCAAGCAACGTCCCCCCTCCAACTCGGCACACCCCTCACACAGTTCGTGGCGCCGCGGGGAGCCCCACCGTGAGCCACTGTGGCAGGAAATCGCGTAGCGTCCCCCCTCCTATTTCGGCGCACTCCTCACACGTCTCGGGACCCTACAGGGAGCCCCACCGGCTTCAGCGGCAACGTATCGCTCAGCGTCTCTCCGCCTATTTCGGCACACTTCTCGCACGTTTTGTGGCCGCACAGGGGATGCCACCGAAGGCCTCAGTGGCAGGGAATCGCAGAGTGTCCCACCGCTCATTTCGGCACACCTCTCACACGCTTCGTGGCCCAATAGGGAGCTCCACCGAGAGCCTTAGTGGCAGGATATCGCGCAGCGCCCCGCGCCTATTTCGGCACACTCCTCACACGTTTCGCGGCCCCATAGGGAGCTCCAGCGAGAGACTTAGTGACAGGATATCGCGCAACGTCATGCAGTCCTCCCGCCAATTCAGGCACATCCCTCACATGTTTCGTGGCCCCATAAGGGGTTCCATCGAAGGATTCAGTGGCAGGATACGGCATGCGGTCCCCCCGCTCTTTTGTGCATACCCTTCACACGCTCATTTTCGTGGCCCCACAGGGAGCTTCACCGACCGCCCCAGCGACAGGATATCACATTCGGTGCCCCCGCCCACACCCTTCACGCGTTTCGTGGCCCCACGGGGGACTCCACGGAAAGTTTCAGTGGCAGGGTATAGCAAGCCCCCCCCGCAGATTTCTGCACACCCTTCACGCGCTTCGCGTCCACATAGAGAGCCGCGCGTTGCTTATGCGGAAAGGGTTATATCCTGCGCTACTCGTAGCGTCTTTGGGCTTTGTCCGTTGCCAGGCTAGTTTCATCGTTTTTGTTAGCAGGAGGTTTGTTGGGGGTCTCAGGGCAGTCGGAAACGATTCAGGATACAAAATAGCTTCCAGAGAGGGGTCGAGGGCCTCGGTAACGAGAAACATGTGCGGTTGGAAGTGGGAGGCTAGCAAGACTAAACGCCCGGCCAGGACCGTTCTTGGAATGGTTTGGGTATCCCTCAATATCATCAACTAGAACTTCCCATGCGCTACGTCTTGCTGTGTCCAGGGTTCGGCAGAGGTGATGTCGCACCTTGACTGTGTACGACAGAGATGCACAGGGTTAGAATGGAATGGCTTGGGGTGGCCTCGTTATTTTTCGGTGGTAGAAGTTCGCGGCTGACTTCTCCCAGCTGACAATTCGTAAGGTCCGCGTGCAGACACTTGATATGTTTTGATGGCCATTGTTGTAACAGTCTGGCAGTCCCAACAACTTTATTGAGAAGTGTAGCTTCTACAGCGGCGTGCCCTTCTTTTGTGACCTGGTGCCCTCGAAGATACCTCGAAGAAACCCGTACATTCAGTTATCCACGGCGATGAATTCGCCTTCTGCCCATGTAGGCCACTCGGTGCCCCCTTGCCTGCCTTGCCATGTTGCTCTCAGTGATGGGCGACAGGCAGTGAGGCCAAGTGCTTGCGTTACAGAGCACGGAGCACGTCGTCTGTTCAATCATTGCTACCTTGATCCTGGACGGTCATGTATTTGATTCTTGACTTTGCCGTTACGCTTGATCAATTGTGATTTTTGACGCTTCGCAAATCCCTACCAGCCTGTCTGCCCTGCTCGTCTCTGACGGTGCCTTGTGCCGACTCACACCGAGTGATTGACCTCTGCGTGTTTATGGTCGCCCCGCCGCGCCATGTTGGCTGCGCGTACTTGCTGGTCGCCACCAGGATCTCCACGCCACCGGTTTGGGAGTATCGGTTCTGGCTCTCCTTCTGAGTGGCTGCCCGCGCGCTCGCTTCGCTTGCCTCTCTTTTCCTGCTGCCTAGTCGCGGCCCGACTAGTGTTCGGACGGCTTTCGACCTGCTTCGCGAGCCCGCAGACCAAAAAAAACGTATCCCCACCAGTTGCCCGCTCGCTCGCTTCGCTTGCATTTCTTTTCCTGCTGCCTAGTCGCGGCCCGACTAGTGTTCGGACGGCTTTCGACCCGCCTCGCGAGCCTGTTGGCCCAAAAAATATCCCCACCAGCAGCCTGCCTGGCGTCCGACCCGCCTCGCGCGCCTGCGAACCATGAGTGTCCCCACCAGACCATCCAGAAACGATGCCCGTGAGAGCTGACGGGGGGAGAGAAGAAGAGACACGCACAGTCAAGTAGCGAGGCTCTCTTGAGCTACCCTGGAGGTGATCTTGGGCTCTCTGGGGCCGTTCGGGGGCCTCTGAGGTGCCTCTCGGGTGCCTCTTGGAGGCCTCTTGGGCCTTCTCGGGGCGTTCTTGGAGCTCTCTAGGGGGCCTTTTGGGGGCCATGGAGGCTCTCTTGGTGCCAACTTGAAAGCGGTCGGTCAAAAGAGGGGGGGCCCTCGATGTCTGCCCCCCCCCCCCCCCCTCCAAGGGCCACGATCCTCGTGAGGGGTGTGAGAAGTGGCCCTCCCACGGGTCGAAAAAGGACCCTCAGACACATCCTTCCCCATCCCCCAAAACAAAAACCCAGGGAGGGGAGGGGGAGGGTTCCCCTCGCCGAAGGGAAGAAGGGGCTGTGGAAGAAAAAAGAGATCACCCTTAGACCACCTGTCGCCCAAAGGGCTGGGGTTGCTAGCGTTACAGAACACGGAGCACATCGTCAGTTCAATCACTGCTACTTTGATCCTGGACGGTCATGTATTGGGTTCTTAACCTTGCCGTTTCGCTGGATCAAGTGTGACTCGACTCGTCTATGTAGATTTTGTGTTCAGGGCGCCGTTCAGTGTGGCCGACTAGTGCGTCTCATTTGTAGACAGATCTCGATCCACTCTCTCCACGTTCGCGGGGTCCTTCCAGCCTTCTCCTCTGCCCCGTCCGGTCGTCATCTTGTCGTCGTTCTCCCCTTTCCTCCTGCTGCTGACGGGGCTTTGGTTCTCCGTGATCGTTTGGGGCTAAGGGAACGGTTCGAGGATCTTCCTGGGAACCCTTTGGGACCATGCATGGCGCGCGTCCTGCAGCGGCGCGCAAGCGGGGCAAAGGCCGACAGGGGCACCTTCTCCCGCAAAGCGGATGACGGTGACGGTTCGCGGATAGTGGCCGCAGAGCTGACCAAGGAGGAATCCCTGCGGCTTGTTCGTACCCAGACTTTCCATAGTTCTCATGGCCAGAAAGGGCTTGTTCTTGTTCATCGGATTTGGCTACATGGTTCTGCTGCCGGTGCGCACCACATGGGTTACACAACATATATTGCGCCACACATGGGCTCCACCGCTCAGCATGCACCCAATTGAATGCACATTCAGAGTGCAGTAGTGCACTGTGTGGGGTCCACGCTCGCAGACATGACATGTTTTTCCCCAAACAGCTTGCTGAACGGGGTGCTGTTGTGATAGAAGCTAGTTCCGGCCGAGGGAAAGCTAAGCAGAGACATCCTCACAAAAAATCTCCAGTTTTGGCCGTTTCGCTTGAGACATCCTCGCAACTCTCGTTTCTGAGTTGTCCGGGATTGAGCGTTTCGCCTGAGACATCCTCCTAAAACTGAGCTTCGAGCTGCCGCGCGAGAGGTGGTCCGGGCCGTTTCGCCTGAGACATCCTCGCAACTCTGGGCTCCGAGCTGCCGCACGAGAGGTGGTCCGGGCCGTTTCGCCTGAGACATCCTCGCAACTCTGGGCTCCGAGCTGCCGCGCGAGAGGTGGTCCGGGCCGTTTCGCCTGAGACATCCTCGCAATTCTGGGCTCCGAGCTGCCGCGCGAGAGGTGGCGCGAGAGGTGGTCCGGGCCGTTTCGCCTGAGACATCCTCGCAACTCTGGGCTCCGAGCTGCCGCGCGAGAGGTGGTCCGGGCTGTTTTGCCTGAGACATCCTCGCAACTCTGGGCTCCGAGCTGCCGCGCGAGAGGTGGTCCGGGCCGTTTCGCCTGAGACATCCTCGCAATTCTGGGCTCCGAGCTGCCGCGCGAGAGGTGGCGCGAGAGGTGGTCCGGGCCGTTTCGCCTGAGACATCCTCGCAACTCTGGGCTCCGAGCTGCCGCGCGAGAGGTGGTCCGGGCCGTTTCGCCTGAGTTTCTGGGCTCCGACTGCCGCGCGAGACACTGCAACTCTGGGCTCCGAGCTGCCGCGCGAGAGGTGGTCCGGCCGTTTCGCCGAGACATCCTCGCAACTCTGGGCTCCGAGCTCCGCGCGAGAGGTGGTCCGGGCCGTTTCGCCTGAGACATCCTCGCAACTCTGGGCTCCGAGCTGCCGCGCGAGAGGTGGTCCGGGCCGTTTCGCCTGAGACATCCTCGCAACTCTGGGCTCCGAGCTGCCGCGCGAGAGGTGGTCCGCGTCGTTTCGCCTGAGACATCCTCGCAACTCTGGGCTCCGAGCTGCCGTTCGCGAGGTCAGCCGGCCCCGTGCGCAGCCCCTCCCGCTTCAATTCGGACTCCCGCGCCTAGGCCTCGGCGGCCTCGGGCGCGTCGCCGTCGCCGTCGCCGCCGCCGTCGTCGTCCCCGTCGTCGTCGAAGTCGTCGTCGTCGTCGCCGTCGTCGCCGTCGTCGCCATCGTCGCCGTCGTCGCCGTCGTCGCCGTCGCCGTCGCCGTCGCCGTCGCCGTCGCCGCCGTCGTCGTCGTCGTCGTCGTCGTCGTCGTCGTCGTCGTCGTCGTCGTCGTCGTCGTCGTCGTCGTGATTGCGTGATTGCGTGATTGCGTGATTGTCGTCGTCGTTGTCGTAGTCGCCTCGGCCTTCCAAGACCGGGAGGCGGAGGAGGGTACGCGATGCATGGTAGAGCACGGCATAGCATGGCGTAGAGGAGCACGGCAGAGCGTAGCAGGTCATAGTATGGTGTGGCATTGCGTAGTGAAGCATTGCATCACAAAGCATTGCAACGCAAAACATGGCATCGCACAGCGGCACAGAACGCAACACTGCGGTGACGACGATGAGGCAGAAGAGACAGAGAACCAGGAGGATGAGGAGGAGAATGTGAAGTGGGGCGAGGATGTATAGGAGAAGGCGGAGGCAGGGCATCAGGAGTATGAGGAGGAAAACGATGAGGAAGAAGGAAAGGAGGGTAGGAAGAGGGATGTGACTAGAGGGGGATAAAGAGGTTGATTGGGAAGGCAGGCGGGAGAGGCGAGAATGATATTTCCCAAGAGGAGCACGTAGACTACGATGACGACGGGGCATGCCAATCAAGAGCAGGAGGACGATAACTGCAGGACGCGCGAACAGACTCAGGATCCACCCTGGCTTTAAAAACGCTGTTTGGGGATACTGCACTCTGGCTATAATTTAGAGCCAAGGCCAATGGCGGAGGCCCTCCACAGACGTCGATTGTCTGACCTCGGTCGGAGGTAGAAGTTTGACTAATGGGCCGCGTTTGGTGAACCCTACGGCACGAGTGGCGGCTTGCCGCGGGCATTCATGCTCACTCTGACAAGAAGTAAGTTCCTGTAACTGCTAGCGATGAAGAGGGTTCTGCACGTCTTGGCCACTCCCGCTTCTGTGATGTGAACTTGCGTGCCTGTGCTGTGCGTGCCGTGCCGTGCTTGAAGCCGTGCGAGCCGTTCCATGTTCGCCTCTTTGTGCGTGCTGTACCATTTCGTGCCCCGCCGCCCGTTGGCCGCAGGAGCTGGCGGAGCTGACCCACCAGGTCCGCGCCATACACGGGGAGCTGAAGGAGGACCCGAGGACGAGGCAGGGCCGGCGGCGAGCGAGGGGGGGAAGCGAGAAGGGGAAGGCCTTCTCAGAAGGCGGCGAGACTTCTCAGAAGCCCTCGCGCCTTCTCAGAAGCTTCCAGTGTCTTCGGGGAAGGATCAGGAAACGTCTCAGAAGGCCGGGTGACTTCCGAGCCTTCTGAGACGGCCCGCCTCTTCTCACTTCCCCCCCTCGCTCGCCGCCGACAGGAGGAGCAGCAGCCCATGCGGAGGACGTGGTCCCCAGGGGTCACCGGAGGCCCCGGGGAGGCCCCAAGAGGGTCGGGATCCCTCAAGCAGTCTCGGTGGGCCAGGAGGATCAGTTCGGAGGAGGGGGAGGGAGAGGAGGAGGGGGAGGAGTGGGGAGGAGGAGGCAGAGAGGGAGGAGGATGGAGGAGGTAGGAGGAGAGGAGTCAGGAGGATGATGATGATGATGAAGAGGAGAGGAGGAGGAGGAGAGGAGGAGGAGGAGGAGGAGGAGAGGAGGAGGAGAGGAGGGGTAGGAGAGGGAGGAAGAGGAGGAGGATTGAAGGGAGGAGGAGAGAGGAGGATAAGGAGGGGAGGAGGATCGAATTGGGTGAGGGCTCATAGTCAGCCTGTAAAGAGCATAAGGACGAAACGCACGCTGCGTAACACCTGTGCACAAATAGGCTGCGGGCCAGAAAATAAATCAGCCATATGAAACGCCACAACCACCGTGTGAATGAACGGCGGCCAAGAGAGGAGGGAGGAGCAGAGGGAAGGAGGAGGAGGAGGAGGATGAGGAGGGATTATAGAATAAGGCGAGGAGGAGAGGAGGAGGAGGAGGAGGGAGGAGGGGAGGGAGAGGAAAGGGGAGGAGGAGGAGGAGAAGGAGAGGGAGGAGGAGGAGGAGGAGAGGGAGGAGGAGGAGGGGAGGAGGATGAGGAGGAGGATGAGGATGAGGGATGAGGAGGAGAAGGATCAGGAGGAGAGGATGAGGAGGAGACGAGGAGGAGGAGGAAGCAAGGAGCAAGGAGGAGGAGAGGAGGAGCAAGGAGGAGCAGGGAGGAGGAGGAGGAGGAGGAGGAGAGGAGGAGAGAGAGGAGGAGGTAGGAGGAGGAGGAGGAGGAAGGGAGGAGAATGAGGAAGGAGGAGGAGGAGGAGGAAGAGGAGGAGGAGGAGGAGGAGGAGGGAAAGGAGGAGAAGGAGGAGGAGGAGGAGTTTGGTGGAAGTCGGGTGCTAGGCGACGCGAGAGAGTTGCAGAAGGCAGTTCCTATAGAAGACGCAGCAGCGGTTGCGGCGAGTCGGCAGCGGCTCACAGAGAGGTGTCGATGATGTTCCATGTTAGTCTGTCTTCGCGTTGTGCGCGATAAGAGCGCGGGCGAAGGGAAACATGGGGGCGGATGGTAAGGGGATCGGGGAACGACAAGGGGACGTGGGATGTGGCCGACGTTTGATTACACCTTGTGTGCAACATGGACCCTCGCTCTCGCGCGGAACAGGGCTGGCCACAGGTCCTGGTTCCTCCTTTGCGTGTCGAGCCCTCGGTTTTCTGGTTCCAGGTCTGCTGGAGCCCACCAACACGCGCACAGGAATCGCCGCCGCCACGGCGAATCAAAGCGTCTCTTCGCGCTTGCGCACCTGCCCCGCCCCCGAAGACGCGCGCAATGTGCACCCGATCATGCTGGCGCCCCCCCCCGCCGCGCAGCGCAGCGCAGGAGCAGCTGATAAAGATCATCAACTGCGAGTGCCAGGAGCTGCGACGTCCGCCCTCTGCTGGCCCTCCCGCTCCCCCCCCCTTCCGCCCCTGCCTCCGCCTCCGCCTTCGCCTCCTCCGCCTCCGCCTCCCCCTCCTCCTGCTCCTCCTCCTCCTCCTCCGCCTCCGCCTCCGCCTCCTCCTCCTCCTCCTCCTCCTCCTCCTCCTCCTCCGCCTCCGCCTCCTCCGCCGCCGCCTCCTCCTCCTTCTCCTCCTCCTCCGCCTCCTCCCCCTCCGCCTCCGCCTCCTCCCTTCCCCTCTCCCTCCCTCCTCCTTCCCCTCCCCTCCTCCCTTACCGCCTCCGCCTCCTCCTCCTCACGCCTCCTCCCCTCCCCGCTTCCCCTTCCCCCTCTCTCCCCCCTTCCGATAGGGGGAGGCGAGGGGCCCGGGGCCCCGAGGCCCCGGGGAGGGCCCCGCGGGGCCGCGAAAACGACGAT